GGTCAATATTTAAAAAAAAAAAAAAAAAGTGCTCAAAATAGCAGCTAGGCAATAAGACAAAAATATCATATCATGATACTTAAAGACATTTCTGTGATACATGATATGTATCACATGTAGGACTGCTAAAGTATCACATTTTTTGAAAACTATGAAAAATGTATTAAAAATTTTTATTATATTTTTTAATTTAATGGCTAGAAAAATAGATTTTACAATTTTAAAGATTCAGTACAAACTTTTTGCTTCCACTTTGAGTTTGTAAACGTTATGTTAGAAAAGGATATCGCAATATATGCAATATTTCAGAAAAGCATATTGTGACATCATTTATCATGATACCGATATTATATCATCATGATGATTATATCTTCAGTCAGCACTAGTTGGAAACATACAAAAGGTTAATTTCTGCAAATTCTATCATTGGAAGGACGGAGAGATAAATCTGACATTTCCCGTCTCAAAGAGATGATGTGTAGCAGAATGCTGGGGTTACACTACATGACATTTACACACACACACACACACACACACACACACACACACTGATGAAGTGTATTAATCTCGCAAAGCTCTTCTGAATGCTAAATTTAAAAAAAAATAATAATAATAATTCGCTTCAGTCTCACACTGAAAATGATTCAAATGTTGGCCCTTATATCAGGTCATTTGACTCAGCTCGCTAATGAGTCGACTCTTTCAGCTCCCAAATGACTCACTGTCATTTTTTTCCCCCTAAACAGGACAATATTTTGCCCACTGATTGTCCTTCTTTACCTAACTAATTAATGTTATGATTCCTGCTCTGTCTGCTCTTCATTATGAAGATTTATTGTCTTTTATTCTGATAACTGATCTCCGCTTTAACATGCAGATCTTCCCCGTCACGCTGCCTCATACACACAGCCAAGAGTCACACGAATCAGCAGAATCACAATTCACATTCAACCAACAGCTCAGATGATAAAAGGCAGACTCCACTGAGGCATTCTGATTTTATTACCGAGACATCTACAAAGAACTAAATAACAACAACAACAACAACAACAACAACAAAAGGCTCATATATGCGAGTCATTGTTCAGCGTTCACTTAAAAGAGTCGAATCAAGGACTCAACTCATTTGCAAACCACATGTAAATACTTAGAACCTTCTGAATACATCAGTTAACATTCCCAGTTTGTGAGTTCTTGACCAAAACAAGCGGTTCGAGATCATCTCAGTGAGGTGGTCTCAGCACGGTTCCAGCTGAACTCTAGCACGGTTCAAATGCAGTGATAAAGTGATTCAATCCTGAATCCATCCAAACAGAGGAAGTGAACCAAACCTGATGTGTGTTTTGTGCTGCAAATGATCATTTTCTGCACATTCGAGCTGCTAAACTGAGCCAGAGCACAGAGCTAAGTGCTGCAGAAATGCCATGTGTTCTGAAGGTTTGGACTGACCAACAAAAAGTAAATAAACAGTGGATGTGATACACAAACTGGTTTAAAATAGTAAGAGTAATCATTCTAATTATCCAGTATTATATAGCGGCAACGTGGTCTCAATGCGCATGATTTTTATCATTTCTACGCACATTTGGCAAAAATCTGTTTACTTTTTTTCAGCATTATATTCTGACGAATGAATGAAGGAGTTTTACACATGCGTTTTCAGCCCTACACTCTCCTCAGCCTACGTTTTTTTTTCTTTTTGATTCATTTAATTATTTACAGTGATAAAACAAAACAAAAAACAGCAAGCAAACCAAAAGTATTCGTTTCACTCTGATTCAGACTCAGAAAGCGGACTAATAGGTGTGAAAGCACTGTTAAACTCCTTTTTCACACTTGCATCATTTTGCAGTCTCAGGACTATGTGATCCTTGAGTTCGGCGTGGTTGGTGAAGTGTGAACGCTTCGTGGGAGCCAGGGCGTGGTCTAGAGATCTACGGCACGGGTATGGAGGCTAACCGTGCTCGAGGCCACACAGTAACGAATAATGCGATTGGTTCAACTTGTCACATTACTTCCTGTTTCTACTTTAGTGAGACCAGGGAAATAGATATTATGGCTATTGATTTATTAAGCACTGGCGCCCTGCCTTGCCTGCGATCAAACCCGTGATTATGAGCCCCGACCCCAAAGGAGCCCGGAATCAGTTGTGAGTGAGGACTCGAGAATTCAGACCAAGTGTGAAGATGTCCTTAGATCCTTAATGAACAAACCAGGAAGGGGGAAAACCTTTCCGAGACGACATGAAGAAGAGACTCAAAAGGGAACTCGTGCTCTTCTGGGGAACACCAGCTAGTGGGATTATGAATCATTACAGTATACAAGTGTAGAAGAGTAAAGACACACAGCACTGAGTGTACTGAGTCCTGGGATGAGACAACATGTCGATTGCTAAAGAAAAAAGAAGCTGCTGCACTTCCTCTCAGTGGGATTATTAGCCTAAACAGTGGGGACGGTCTAGAGACTTACAGTACACTATTAACATGGGTGCGTGCGTGTGTGTGTGTGTGTTTGTGAGGGAGAGAGAGAGAAAGAGAGAGTGTGTGTGTGTGTAAGAGAGTGTGAGAGAGAAAGAGATCAATATTTCAGTCTGATCGTGAGTAATATTCAGCACTGCCTGGTGTTTTTAGGTCATCCCCATCAGCGTGCATGTGTTAGCCTATTTTGCATCACATATATGCGTGTGTGTGTGTGTGTGTGTGAATGTAAAAAAGGAAAGAGGATTGCTGACGCAGGCAGAACCACACCTCATCTGTTGTAGTTCAACTGGAGCGTACATCATGCTGAATATAAAGATATACCGCGTTTAGGTCGCATAATAAATAAGCATAACGGCAAACACCTGGGAAACGTGCCAAGGCAAATGTCTTTCACAATACACTCATCTGTGAAAACACAAAGCGGGTTTGATACCAAATGAAAGGTCTCAGTGGCTAACGAACAGATGTTCCATATAATATAATATAATATAATATAATATAATATAATATAATATAAGTAAGATAAAAAAACATGATGTTTTTTTCCCCTTTTACTCCACAGTGATTTGCTAATGATTGCAATTTTTAATTTATTAATGAATGATACGTTTACTTTTTATCCATTTTTAGTTATATGTAAACCTGTGGAACAACCCTAAAACAAGTTAGTTCCTCTTCTCACTCACGTTATAGCAGCTATAAACAGTCGTTCCCTCACCAAACAGACGCAGCTTGTCATGTTACCGAGAACCCACAAGTGATAAACTCCTCTGTCCTGAAGATGTCGGGAAGCTTAACGTTACCCCTTTACCTCTTATTGTTATAAAGCGCTAACACTACAGACTCCTTCCGTAAATGTTACACAAACCGAAAACCTCACCATATCAACGATTATATGTTTTTCACTGTTACAACATTTTATCTGTTTATTATTAGAGTTAGATTAAGTACAAGTTCCTGTGAATGAGCTGTTACTATAGAAACCATAACATATTACAATGTTAATTTACACCTTCTGGCCAATCAGATATACGAAATCAACAACGGCTGTGGTATAACACAGAACAATAACTTGTACATTTACAGTATGTTTATGTGCAAAAATAAACACGCCTGCTATATGTGTCCTGTATGTACATTCTCAGAAAAAAGGTACTTCACTGTATCTTTCCTTATTGCTGAGGTGGTTCCATCGATCGTACCCCATTTGTACCTTTAGTTTGTGACTTTTGCCTTTAAATCTTAACTGTGAAAGCACTTATGTACCTTAAATCAGTTTTAAAGGAACAGATAAACAGATAAGAGAGAGAAATTCTAAAGTTACAGAAGATGGATGCTTGAGAGTACCACCCCAGTGACGAAAACTGCAGACATTAAATCTGGCCTCCGGTAAATTGGTATATTATTTATTGCACAGTCCCACAAACAGGCCATTAAACACACACACACACACGCACACACACACACACACACACACACACACACACACACACACCTGCTTCCAGCTTTGTCTTACAGCCATGCAAATCAACATTCAAATGATTTCCTTCACATGTAGCCAAAACTGGCAGGTCTGTAAAGGTGAAGCTGCAGCACATACACAACATACACACTCAGAAGAAAAGGGTACTAAAGTAAGTAGGGTGCCTTTCCTCGTCACTGCCGTGGTACTCTCAAGGGAACATCGCAGGAACATTTGTACCTTTAATGTGTATGTGTTACATGGTAATGTGAATGCATTTAAAAATGATTAAGGTGCATAACTGGACCTTAAGGAGCACTTCTGTACATTTAATTAGCTTATAAAGTGAGACACTACATACACCTTTCCAGGTAAATGATGCACACTAAAGGTACAAAAGATGTAGCCTTGATGGTAACAAGGAAAGGTGAGAGTGTAGCTCATGCACAATATATCTGCAATATTATACAAAGCAAATATCAGGAATGTTGTGCATGTTATATATTATAGGGTATAATATCAGGCCCTAGTGTGTGTGTGTGTGTGTGTGTGTGTGTGTGTGTGAGTGCCACAGTGGCAACGTGAAGAAATCCAGACTAAATCCATCCACACCACCCATCATCTCCCCTCCCAACTTTCCCCTCTTTATCCTGTTTCAGGAATAATCATACTCACACTTCATCCCTGCGGAGGGTCTAATCTCCTGAATGTGCTGCTCCGGTTCTCGGTATCAGAACCTTTTTATTTCTTTCTGTCCACGCGTGAAGCGCGAGATGCTGATGCGCGGATGCGTGGCGCTTCTCTCTCCAGCACCAGCGCGCTTTGAACAGCGCCGTTGACGTCATTCCCTACGACCCTCACACCACGCCCACTTGATATGGAAGGCCATGGAGGTCAAAAGCTGAAGCTTTTATTCACTGCACATCTTTCAGTGTTAAATCAACACTCAAGGAGTTTATTCGATTTAAAATGATCAGGATAAAGCGTTGATTCAGCACTGTAGGAGATAATTCAACACTGAAGATAAATTCAGTCGATTAGTTGATTACTGGAGGACTTTACTGGAGGACCAGTGGTTAGGCCTTGGTGCTCTCACCGCCAAGGCACGGGTTCGCTTCCCAGCCAGGGAACCAACCCAGGCCACTGAGGTTCCACATAGCAGTGCACTCCCAGTGCCAGTCCCAAGCCCGGTTAAAACCGGGGAGGATTGCGTCAGGAAGCGCATCGGGCATAAAAACTGTGCCAAATCAAATATCCGGACCAATGATCCGCTGTGGCGACCCCTAACGGGAGCAGCCAAAAGAAGAACATCTTGTGTTTATTTGTTTACATAGTCTATATTACATCCATTTGAATTCACATGGATTTAATTATTTCACTCAACCAATCAGGAGCTGCACCTGATTCCACCTGTTTAATCAGTTCAGCTTGGCCTTCGTTCACCTTTCAGGGGTGGCTCCTGTTTTTGTTTTGTTTTTTAATTATTCGTTTGTTTGTTTATCTACTTTCTTGTTTGTTCTGCAAATTAATAAGTAATAAAAAAAATACACAGAGCATAATAATCATTCATTCATCTTCAGTAAGAGCTTTATCGTGGTCAGGGTGGATCCAGGGCCAATCCTGGGAACACTGGGCATGGGACGGGAGAATTCACCTCGGATGGGACACCAGTCCAGTGCAGGGCAGCATTCACACACATATTCATACACGAAGTCATAACTAGGGGTAATTTAGCACACCCTATCCACCTACCTGTATGGTTTTGTGAGATGGAAACTGGACAATCTGGAGGAAACCCACGTGAGCACGGGGAGAACATGAACAGAAACCCCACACAGACATTGTACCAAGAACGGGAGCTGTGAGGCGGCGACGTTGTACTGCTGTGTCGCTCATAACAACAAGAACAACAACAACAACAACAACAACCATCATCTCCTTTTATCTTCAACTACCGATTAGATGGCTTTATATTTATATTCAATATGGTATTTTTGATATACCTATTATATTTATTAAGTCAGTGTTTAGGCTTGCAGTGGAAATTATTTAATACCACACACAAAAAAAACAATTATCTAAAATTAAAATTTTTTTGATTTTAGTAGGTGAATTTTAAAAGTGATGAGCAGTGGAGAAATTTACAGTACCTAGAGCATGGTTAAGTGATATTTTCTAATACACCACTCCAGAGAACAGAGGCAATATTTTTATTTTTTCTTTCTCTAAATGAAGAAATGTAAAACATCTAAAAAAAAAAAAAAAACCCAACATTGCCTGTAGACGTGCATTTTTTTTACCCATTCAGTTTGCACATCTACATATCTTAGAGTCAAACCCACAGTCAACAACGAGTATTAAGAAGACATTTGCATGGCAATGAGGATTCATGAAAAGACCTGATGAGCTACACCCTATCCAGTGATTTATGCAACTTTACTACAGATGGTTTTGGCATTAAAATTAAGCTCTGTTGTACACAGATACATGTGGGGAAAAAGGCAGATGGTGTAGTGGGTCTGTATGACAGGGTTGGTGGGAAATTGCTATGTTTAAATCCTTAGTTTTAGCTCAAGGGATAACGCTTAGTAAGTGTGGCCATTAAGGTTTCTGTCAAACGTCCTTAAATTGCTTTGGGAATGGGCTGAAACCCATTTCACACAGAGAAGAAGCCTAAAGTTGATTCTGAAAGGCTTCAAAACTTTCACTACACAGTAAAAAAAAAAAAAAACCAAACCCCACAGTAAATGCATAGCTAGCTAGCTATTTGACCTAAGGTCAGTAAACTGATCTTTTTTTAGTGCTTGAGGTTCCCTTTCTAAAGCTAATTTATGATAGACGTCAAGTGATTTACACATTTGCTTCCACATTTGGCTTTTTCTTTTTCATGAAATGCACATTTAACATCGTGTAGTCCTACAGGAAGCAGCCACTTTTGAAAAAAAAAAGTGATGTCAAGTGCTTTGTTTTCTTTTTTTTTTTACCTCCTGACCAGTCAAGTAGTTGTGGGGAAAGCGAGAAAAACAAGCACGAAGGACAGAGTGTGGGGGAAAAACAAGTCTCGTTAGTTAGCGGATATGGCGATATTTGCGTCACGTTGAATTGAAAGTGTTTCAGTTCTAATATTCTGTTGCAGCGTAATTAAAACTAACAACGTGTATTTTTGAGACATTGACCAGTATGTGATATTACTTCCCACATTAACTATCACTGCATACAGTCCTACAGCTGCTCAAGGAGCTCAGATTCTTATGATTTTCTGATTTTCTGCCACAGCAAAGGCAAACAACCTCCTCATCGCCACAGTTATCCAATATTTCATCTGCATTACTGATAATAACACATCAAATCTACAGACAGTTACAGTAGTACAGTCAGTACCAGGTATGACTGGTAAGAGTGTTGCTATGGTTACGGGGAAAACTGGCATGGTTCTCAAACCGAGCTGTTATTGCAACACGTCCTATGTCTCGGTCCAATTCCAATTCTGAGGAATCATTAGCATTTATTTAGAAAACAGTAATCATTTTGTTTTTAAATGAATAATTTTTTTTTTTTTTTTAGCAGAAAACATGGACTTGTTGTAGGCATTGTTAAAGCATGAACTGTAATCATTTCTGACAGTATATGAGTATATTCTCAGGGTCTGAGGAGAAAATTAAGCTAAGTTTTAGTCGTGAACACTTAAAAGTTTGTAAATTTTGTTCCCTTTGGCTTTTCATACTGAGGTAACTAGCGGGGCACGAGCTCATTTGTTCAAAACCCCACCCAAGCGTTTTACAACCTCGGATTTTGGGCCACTACCTTCTCTTTCTCTACGCCACGGAGAGAATATGAAAGTCACAGTAAATGTACTCTTTATCTATTCAAAATATTAACAAAAACATTGCATTGTTGTTTCCATAGAGAGCAGCACTGAACGCTAGCAAAGGCGCACGTGAGGAACTCGAATTAGCACAAAGCGCTGCGCGTGCGGTGTAACCGACACTCACGTTTCCATGGCTACAGGCGCGTTTTTCAAACCTGCTTTTCCAACGGCGAGTCTTCAGATAGTCAGCGGTAATGTTAGCAGATAGCTAACTAAAATAAACTAACAAAACAAAACAAAAAAAATTGCCAAAAGTTTATCCTAAAGGTGAAATATTTTAGAATATTTTTTAAATATTTTGAACATTTGATTATTAAGTTTGTAAAATTTGTAAAAAGCTTGCTAAAACTCTTAACTCTGGTCAGTTAGCTTGTTAGCTAGATTATAAAAAAAAAAAAAACTAAAATATGGCCAAATAACTTTATAAAAAATATTAATACACGGTGTATTTAACAGAGCTGGAATAAAGTATAAAGATAAAACAATGTATTTAATTTAGTTTATTAAGTAATTTGGGTGATTAGGTATTTTTTTTAAAACATTGTGGAAATCTGAAAGTGTTTTGGAAATATTTGAGAATCAGACAAGTAACAGTGTAAAACAAAATCACTGTTTTTATTTTATTTTATATTATGTAGTATATATGGAGGACTGATAGATTTTAACAGACTAAATTATATGCAGCAAAACTAAAAATGTAGAAATAGCTAATGTAGTTAAAAAAAAGTTTACGAAGCGTTATAAATATTAACATACACCGATCAGCCATAACATTAAAGCTCTCCCCTATCATACAACTGCTAACAACCAAGTAGGGTGAAAGCTAACACGTGCTTCATCCGAGACACGTGAAGCCAGACAACTGCATCTTATTTACCTGATACTCATTCTGCATCATAGGGTGGCTTAACACTCTCAGAGGAAAGCGCTATTCGCCCTCTTCCACATACATGACGCTCAGAGATGCCTATGATTGGTTAATGTCTCCGTGATTGACATAGAGACAGAGTAAACCCCTCACACCCAGAGAGCCTGGCCAACTTTGCTCCCTTGGCTCCTTGGAAAATTAATCAATGCCTTCTGACCAATCAGACTCAGGAATTCAACAGCGCTGTGGGATTTCTAGGTAGTTAGGTCTAGCTAGTGAGTTTTCTTTTTTTCTCGGTTGTACTTTTTAGGATTGTATCTGCCTATTTAGCCGGAATTGGGGCTGCGTAGCTGCAGACCGGTCAGAGTGCCCATGCTGACCCCTGTCCACCACCGAAAGCACCTACAATGGGCACGTGAGCATCAGAACTGGACCATGGAGCAATGGAAGAAGGTGGCCTGATCTGATGAATTATGTTTTCTTCTATATCTTGTGGGTGGCTGGGTGTGTATGCATCGCTTACCTGGGAAAGAGATGCCACCAAGATGCACTATGGAAAGAAGGCAAGCTGGCGGAGGCAGTGTGATGCTCTGGGCAATGTTCTGCTGGGTCCTGGCATTCATGTGGATGTTACTTTGACACGTACCACCTACCTAAACACTGTTGCAGACCAAGTACACCCCTTCATGGCAACGGTATTCCCTAATGGCAGTGGCCTCTTTCAGCAGGATAATGCGTCCTGCCACACTGCAAAGGAGGCCCCACCTCACAACTTACAGGACTTAAAGGATCTGCTGCTAACGTCTTGGTGCCAGACACCACAGCACACCTTCAGAGGTCTTGTGGAGTCCATGCCTCGAGAGGGGTCAGAGGTGTTTTGGCAGCACAAGGGGGACTTACACAATATTAGGCAGGTGGTTTTAATGTTATGGCTGATCAGTATGTATATCAGTAGCTACTGTAGCTAATAGGCTAGCTAGTGATTAGGCAGGCAATGAAACAGAAAGTCATGCTGGTATAGGGAAATAATCAACAACGGGGTGGTGTGATGAAGCTGAGTTACTGTTACCACCACGAAATTGACTCGAAATGTTTTATTCCGTTTCTGTAACAGAAATTTGACAACAGTTTCTTTTTTTTGTTTAGTAAAGAACATCATGCTTTTTATCCATGTATGGTAGTGCAATAAAAAGATGAAGCTCTGTGTTACAGATAATGTGATTAGCTCTATTATTTATTTCATTACACAGTGAAAACTTGTGTATTTTGTAAACTGACTCACAGCCATTAAAACCAGTTAAAACTCACATGCTCCCAGTGTATTGTGGGTAATATAGACAGTCCATTGGCCACAGAGAATAGCAGTTTGAGCATTTGGGATGTGTCTCAAAATG